GAAAGGTTTAGCAAACTTCCTCTATTTAATAGATAACTGAAATGATAGAGTTTTGATGAGGACGATATTTGCGTTAGATTTTCTATATTTTGTAGAAGTTGTTATTCTTTCTTTTGTTGATGATCGTGTAAAGGTTTAGCAAACTCTCTATTTTACTAGATATGAAGAAACGAAAAAAAAAGTATGAAAAATGATGAGTTTTGATGAGGACGTTATTTGCGATAGATTTTTTTTGGTTATTTTATAGAGGTCGATGCTGTTGTTGTTGATGATGATGCGTGGAAAGGCTCTGTAGACACTCAGTTTGACGAGGCATTAAATTAAGAGTGAGAGTGCAGGTAAAAATCGGTCGGGACGTGATGGCTAACAGTAAAACAGCGGCATTGTGCGTACGCTATACGGCCTTGATCGGTCCAAAAGTGCGAGGAACCCCGTTCTGTAAATATTACCAGCGAAAAGTCCTTCTGCTCAGTTGGGGATCAATTTTTATTTTTATTTATTTTTTCTCTTCGCAAATTTGTAAACACACCATTAACGCATCACCACCACCGCATAACATAACAGCGTCTCCTCAATAGCATTGCTGCATGTGTTTCGGGCAGTCCGCTTTCAACCAATATGGAGTTAAGTTCGGTGAGTTCCTGTTCATTTTCTTTCCAACATTGGTTTTTGAATCCTAATTACGAACGCAAATTTGAATTGATAATCGCTCCGAGTTGTTGCTTTCGTTCTATTCTCTATTCTGTTATTTGCTAAATGTTCTGCGCGTTAGCACGTTCGGTGCCTTCGCTTTATTTATGCGACTTATCACATAGACTGCATGTCTAAATAATAATATGTACATTTATTATAAGTATGTACACGGCTAACGTGTGTGGCTGGGAGGTAAAAATATGTTGCACCTTCCTCGTTATTAACATACAACGGTGAACTCAAAAGGATTTATTGTTCAGCAATGATCAGAATTAATTCAAATATTAATGCTATGATATTTATATACAGACTATGAATATAAACGTATTAGTTTTGTAATGTGATTCATAAAATTCATCAATTTTGAAAAAAATAACATTGTAACTATAAATTACGGTAATTGGGTTAGCATACAAATAAATTAATTAATTAAAAATTGTTTTTTTACTGTTGTCATTAGATGCTTAGCAACGTTATAACTAAAAACAAGCAACTGTCAATGTCATATTTATGAATATCACTGTCATTTTCAATACAGAAAGACCTATGGTGAAGAGCCCTTTTCAGCAGTTTTTGTTTTATTTTGTTTTTGTCTGTGTTGCAATAACGATTATTATTAACTGTCATTTATATTCTTATTGGAATAGCATAGCAACGAACACGAGTATGTAAGAACTATCGTTGGTCACCTTAACAACAGTGGTGTTATTTGTTACAACTGAGACGCGTCTTAACAACTGTTGTTGTGTACAAAGCAATCAAACGTATCCTTAGCAACTGGTAGAGTTTAGATGATAATTAATGTTGCGGATAATATAAAAACTTTTATTTAATTGTGATAATTAAAGACATTTCTACCCCGGAAAATAAATAAGGAAGATTTCTTCTTTTTTTTTGATATATTGCATTATTTTGAAATTGCGACGAGACGTTTAGTAATTTATTGTTATGAGGTGTGGTGCCGTCCGGAGATATCTTCTGACAAATAAAAATATATAAATTAAACATTGCTTTATCTCGAAGTAGAAACGTTATAAATAATGGCGATATTTATTTAGCTCTTTCTGTGACATTTAATGGAAGAATCAGCATTATTTATTGCAACTAGATGTGCCGCTGTTCCATTTTCAGTGGATCTAATAAAGTGGAACAACGTTCAATAAAAAAAATGTTTGATTTTAACGATTCGTGTCACCTAATTAACAGAAACGGCCTTAAAATGTTAAATAATTCAATTGCGTTGGCTTTGAATTTGTTTAATTTAAGTTATTACATGTATTTTGTTTTAAGCTGTTTTCCTTTGTTTTGTATGTGGGTGCAGAACAATGTTATTATCGATACTATTTATATACAGGGTTTTACAATGAAATTACACAGAACGGATTTAATCGAATTACGTACAAAACAACAGCGATAAATTCGGGTCATAAATTAATATATAAGTGAGGCTAATAGGTCGACCGCTTTAAGACCTTCGATAGCCACTTTTATTCGTTCTTTATATATATATTATTTTTTCTAGAACAATGACTCTCAGCTACTCTCTTAATAAACATAGTTGCTCTGACACTGATTTGACGTTTGAATGAGTTTTGTTTCAATGCTTGAGTTCAATGTACCAGAAAAGATTTTTTATAATCAACATATTATGACACAAATATGCAACAGTTGTGTTTATTATTTGAATTATTTCATATTTGTTGTTGTTAAAAAAATTAATTTAACAGTTCAATTAAAAATTGGAATGTATGAAGTAATTTGTTTGTATAAATTTACGTTGGGTTGACAAAGTTGTTAAAGTATTTGATGATTGTTCATTAATAAAAAAACCATTACCGAAGCATAATTCGTAAGCATAATTATTAACTGTAATGTGTTTTTCTTTTTGATTGTGCAATAGGGAAGAGAATTGAAGAACGACGAGAAGACTAGCATCACTTCTGGTGATGGAGTCTCGTGTCTTCTGCTGCAGAATATAAACACAGACGATAGTGGAAAGTACGACGTGCACGTGGAGAACGAATTTGGATCTGAATCGAACTACGCTTCGGTCTCAGTCGAAGGTATTTTTTTTTTGATTCGATGTCTCGAGGAATGGTATTTTCAATGTTTGTTTCTTTCAAGGACCACCCGATCCTCCGAGCGGAAAACCTTGCCTCATCCCTGGAACGGATTGCGCCACTGTTAACTGGAGCAGCTCTCCGTACGATGGAGGCAGGAAAGTCACGGGATTCGCTGTAGAGTATTCCCTTGTTGGCAGCGATGTCTGGACGACAGTTGCAGAAGACTGCAATTCGCTGAGCTACGTGGTGACAGGTCTTCAGGCCGGAGGAAGATACGTGTTCAGGGTGCGCAGCGTCAACGTCCACGGTGCCAGTCAGCCTAGTCAGGAATCAGATATTCTTCAATTGGAAGAGCAAAGTAATATATTATTGTTATTCTCATTTGAGTTAAACTTGCTAAATGTGTGTGTGGTCGATTTCAGATGAGAAGTCCTCGTTTGAACCGCGCATAGTTTCCATCGAGCCCGGACCAGAGTTCAAAGTTAAATACGATATTTTGGAGGAGTTAGGTAAGGGGAGATACGGTGTGGTGCATCGCGTCGTCGATAAGACCACGAACCAGAAGCTCGCTGCCAAATTCATCAGATGTCGGACGGCAAAGGATCGCGACAAGGTGCAGGACGAGATCGACATCATGAACCTGCTGAGGCATTCGAAGCTGCTGCAGCTCGCAGCCGCCTTCGAGAATTCCAAAGAGACGATCATGGTCATGGAATAGTGAGCACAACCGTCTTGAACGTCTTGTTTAGCAGCGATTTACAATCTCGATTTCTTTTTATTTTGCTCACAGCATATCCGGAGGAGAACTGTTCGAGCGCGTCGTCGCGGATGACTTCACGTTGACAGAAAAAGACTGCATACTGTTTATGAGGCAAATCTGCGAGGGTGTAGCATACATGCACAGCCAGAACGTTGTCCATCTGGATTTGAAGCCGGAGAACATCATGTGCCACACGAGGACCTCACACGAAATCAAGATCATCGACTTCGGATTAGCGCAGAAGTTGGATCCTGATAGGCCGACGAAGGTGCTGTTTGGAACAGCGGAATTTATCCCTCCGGAAATCATCAACTACGAGCATATCGGCACCGAATCAGATATGTGGTGTTTGGGCGTCATCTGCTACGTTCTGTAAGTACTGATAATCCATTCTCATCAAAATTTGTTACAGTTAAAAACGGAATTTTATTTGGATGAACAAAGTCTAAATTCTATAAATACTTGTAATCCAATCTAAGCAAAATTGAAAACAAAATCAACAAAAAAAAATTGAAAACAAAAATTTTACTTTCAGATTATCCGGTTTATCACCTTTCATGGGTGACAACGATGCTGAAACGTTTGCAAACATCACCAGAGCCGAATACGATTTCGACGATGAAGCCTTCGACGCAGTTTCTCAGCACGCTCGTGACTTTATCGGAGCACTTCTTCTCAAAAGAAAAGAGTAATACCGAATAAATAGCAATTAATTAATTTCATTGATTCAAATCTGTGTACTTTAGGGATAGAATGTCAGCGGAGAGTTCTTTGAAACACGAATGGCTGGATCCGGAGAGCCACACGAATACTGTAGTCATCTCGACGGATAAACTGAAAAAGTTCATCATCAGAAGAAAGTGGCAGGTCGGTAGTGTTTTCTTTTGGTTGTCGCTAATTTTATTACGTGCATGGTTTTTTTATACTCCCTTTTGTTTCTTTTTGTTTGTTTGTTTTTCGTTTTGCGAATTGATTAATATATTAGAAAACTGGAAACGCTATTCGAGCCCTCGGACGATTGGCGAATCTTTCGGCGAGCCGCAGGAATTCCGCGACGTCGAGCAGTCCTAGACCTTCGATCTCCGGTCTGACGGTGTCCCGCATGTCCAGCTTGAGCGAAGAAGAGACTAACCTGTGTGATACTAACTGTAACGAAGTTAAGCATAGGAAGGCGAGCAGGAATTGCACTGAGAGGAGCGACAGCGGTATCAGCGATTGCTCCCAACTAAAGACTCTGGAGAGATCCGCGCCGATCGAGGAGAACGATCCCGTCGACCTTAACGCCAATTACCCTTTAATTGATAACGATTTGAGTGAGTTTCATTTAACATCCAACATTCAATCTTACTATATATGAAATGTTAAAACCAAATCCGAGAACGCAAACAAATCGCTTACCCATATTTTACAAGTAGTGTTAGTATAAACTTAATCAATTTAAGATTCAATCCTTATTATATTTCATATTACAAATTCATTTTTGTGAAGTGAAATGAAAAAGTAATTATCTATTAAAAAATACGTAGAATTTAGCTTTCTCAATCTACATTACGTATTTTTGTATTTAACTGCGTTACAATTGAGTGAAGAAGCGGCGAAGAGAAAATTGGAATGTAAGATGATTACGAAAGGAAAGTAATTAGAATAATGAAATATTCCTTTTACGACTTTTTACTCATTCATTTCTCGGTTAACGGTTTCTCATTACTTTCATGTAGATGATTTTCGAATAATATTTATAGAACACATCCATTCTAAGCTTCATCTGCTTGCTTAGGTTTAGCTGTTATTTAGATCAATCGATTTGATTACCAAACGTCACATGAAAGTATTCTTGTAGAGCCATATGGTAAATGTCGTTCCGTGACGTATTATTGTACATAATTATAATATCTGCAATATAAATCCTATACAATTCAGCTATATATTTTGTTTGCATTACTTTTGCGATATTGTATGCTTGTTATATATATATATACCATGTAGATGTTATTTGATTTGTGGTTTGTCCTCTGTAGGAATTGATCCCGTGTCGCGGGACAGCGTAAAAACCACCGTAGCCTCCGTAGTACAACGATTTGATCGATTAGAGTTTAGCGTCACAACTACCGTCAGCACCCCCGAAGTCCCACCGCCGCAGTCCAACGAAATTTGCCCCAAAAAACAGAAACCTAGTCAAGTGAAGAAAATGATCGATGGCTTCGAGAAGAACGCCAAAAGCGAGAGCTTCCTGAAAGCCTCGGCCTTCTGGAACACCCCCAAATAGAGTATAGTAGTTAAGAGTAGAACCAACCTCGACCATCCACATCCGTAAGAGATGCGTGCCTTAAGACCCAATTGAAACATGTACATTATATTTTATTTTTTCTTTCTAGTTTTAGCTCAGGTTTGTTATTATTGTATTACATCTAAATGTGAGATATTATTTTTCCTGTACGTAGTTTATATTATCTATATCCGTGCCCTCCTTAAATTATACAACAAATATAAGAGATTATATATATATATATACACACACACAGATATATTGAAATAAATGAATATATTTATTAATTGAACAATTATTTTTATCTTCCTTCCATCAAGTGTTTGTTTGTTTTTTTTCGCAATACATATATCTATTATATAGCAAAATAACATTTAAGAGCATTTCATCAACTAGTATAATAATTACATTTATTCTCAATAAGATATATACTTAAGTAAAATAATAATACTATCTACAAATTAAAATTACTTAAACAACGACGATAAAATATATTCAAAATCAATAAAGGGCATATAAAAATAAATGCAAATAGTTTTTTTTTTGTCTCATGATGTTGTCATTTTTGTGTTGTTTTGTTTTTTTTTTCTCTCGCTTCTAAGTAGTTTTGGCATAATCTCAAGAAATGAAATCGAAGAAGGAAACGTTAAATATATGATGGATAGTAGGTATATACATGCAATAATAACATTAAAGCTAGGATACATTAATTAATTGTTAAGACTCTCCCAGAGTTCGTCGTCTCCCCATTTGTTATCCCACTTCTTTTCGGGATCTTTCGTCTTCTTAGCAGCGCCAGATTTGGCAGCCTTCTTCTGGCCATCACCAGGGGACGTTGGTGACGTCGATTTCGAGTCGAATTGCTCGGAATGGAAGCTTTGGCTATCGTTCTGATAGCCCCAACTGGGGCTCTTCGGGCTGGAAGCCTTAGACCCTTGCTGACTGCTGTAACTCCAATCGTCTTGCTGACTGAAGCTGTTGCCACCGCCTCCGTTGCCGCTCACCAAATAAGATTTTTCGCCCGGAGACTGGTAGTTGTCTCCTCCGACTTGTCCATATCCACCGGTGTTGAAATCACCACCGGGCGCGTTCGTTCCGGACACTTGGCTCCAGCCTTTCCTACCCAAATCGCCCATCTGCACCCAAATAAAAGATAATTTAAAAAAAAAGCTGACAATAAATATTGGGTTTATCATAAAGTTTGTTTGTATAACTAATCAAAAGTATTTGTTTTTTTTCTTTTCTTTTCAAAGAACGAACCTTTTGATTAATCCCAATACCCGTAATCATTGAATGCAGAAAAATTACCTTGTTTGCCAAAGTGGAGACCTGACAGCCTACATCTTCTAACAAATTACCCTCCCTAACCTTCATTCATAAAATTAAACGAAAGGAAAAAAGAAAAGAAACGAAAATAAAATCAAATCATAATAAAAAATAAATCATAACGTTAATAATACCTTGTCCCCAACATGCGACCCCATATCAACTACCTTTTGTGATGCAATCCCGCCGTATTTCAAGGCGCTCTCCGATGCTTTACTTGCTATTCTAGTCGCGGAAGAAGAAAGGAACGACCATCCCTATAAATTATTACACGTTAATTTCTACAATCATATAGAAATAAGGTTAGTTTTGCGTACGCTAGCTAAAGAGGAGAGCGTGTTGTCGAATATTTCCTGAGATTGGCTCCTTGGTGGTGGTTCCCTTGTGTATCCAAAGCCGCTGTATTTCCCGCCCTGACTAGGTGGCAAATCACTATAAAAAAAGCAACGAATTAATTTGAATATTTCCCGACGAGTTGCATATGAATTTAATTACTCTCGTCGATTAGCATTCTCGTTTTGGACCTTGGAGAAGAACGCCTCTTTCTCGTTCTTGAATTCGGGCGAGTTGTAGTTCTGCACTCCCCCATTACTCTGATAACCATTGTTCTGGTAACTGTCTGATTGATACGAGTTGGAATTAGATGAAGCATAGCTGCTGCCTGAGCCCAGCATACTGCCAGAATAATTTTGAGCTGGCGATTTCTTGGCATCCCAATGCTTGCCCTGAGCCAAACATGATACCTTGTCTCTGTACAGAGCTGCTGCCTTAGTATTGTATTTCTGCTGGATGCTCATAGAATCATCATAATCATCCTGTGCCTCAAAGAAGACCCTGGCATTCCTGTTTCCACCAAGCTTCATTTTCTCCAACTCCACATCCTTCCACTTGTCCATGGTTATGGAGCGCACAAACGACAAATGCACGCCTAATCCGCGATGTTTGCCAGAGCACTCCAGGCAAATCCATATACCATATGTGACAGAAGCCCATTGTGGATTGTGAGTTTGACACTCGAAGCATTTCTGCAATCGCGATAGAATTTAATAATTTCTAATTGCATTCTCAAATTTCGTACTTACATCGTTCTCATTATTGGGCTTCAGTTCTTGCAAAACGCGTCTCGTCCTCGGGCTTGCCATATTGCCGATGAATACTAACTTGCAGCTGTGCTTCTCTCTCTATTTAAAACATTAAAAATACTCTAGCTAACGTTCGAGCGTTATAAAATCACGGACATAATTGAAAAGGAAAAGTCTATGGTATTTAAAATGATTGACCTAAAATATTAGATGTAAACGTCAAAACCGTGAAGACGTGTTAAGGGAGAGTGGGGTCAATATATTTCGCGCGAAGTTGGCAGCAAACGAATTAGAAACATGTTAAGCAACTTCATTGCGGATCAGTAGCAGAAAAAGCCTGGCTGAGGCATGCAGGTGTTTGGAATTTGTGAATGGTATTTATAGGGAAGACTGTGCGTACTTCTTTTGAAGAGAAAGCAAATATCTGAAGCAGATTTGTAAACTTTTTGAATCAGCTGAGTTGTCAAAAAAAGTAATGGTCTGACAGCTGTCACTTTGACATATTAGTCGTAAATAGTGGGTGCCACAAAAAAGACGAGGATTATGCATTATGTATAAGTGATTATTAACGCTCGAATTGAACGACGATGGTGTTGAGATGTATTCGACCCTAGAACTCCACTGATCACCAACGAAAGTGCCGAAAAGAACAACGCGAACACGAAACGAAACCAGCAACCACCGTCGTCATGGATATGGAGGACAGTCAATTGGGTGGGCTGGGGAACGAGACCATTTACGGGACGCACGAAGATAATGTCGTCGTATCAGAGAAGGTGCAATCTTTGGCTGGCAGCATATACCAGGAGTTTGAACGGATGATAGTGCAGTATGATGAGGATGTTGTTAAGACTCTGATGCCCTTGACTGTTAATCTCCTGGAATGTCTTGATGCTGCATACCAAAGCAATTCCCAACAAGATGTTGACTTGGAGTTACTTCGAGAGGACAATGAACAGTTGGTCACCCAGTATTCAAGGGAGAAGAGTGGCAGGAAGGCAGCAGAGGAGAAACTCCTGCAATTCGAGGATGCCTCAGAGGGAGAGAGGAAGGAGTATGTTGAAAGGCAAGATGCTCTGGAGAATATCGTCAAGATGCTTGAGCTCAAGAACAAGAACTCGATGGAGCACACCAGCAGATTGGAAGAGAGGGAGGGTGAACTGAAGAAGGAATATAATAAATTGCATGAGAGATATACCGACTTATTCAAAACTCATATGGATTATAGTGAGAGGACTAAATTACTTTTGTCTGGTGTTCAATTGACCAACGATCGGTCTGATAGTGGTCGTATGACTAGTAATAGATTGAACATGGGCCGGAGTTCTGGACCTGTGTCCTTTGGGTTTGCATCATTAGAAAATGCAGAGGGTGTTGATAGTGTGCCAACATCACCCATTAGTAGCAGCCATTCATCGCCTAGGTACAGTAATTAAACCCTTTGCATTATAAATTTATTAAAACTAGCTTTCTCAGTTTGCACAGTGAAATGGATAATGTTAGAGATGCCATCCGCACAGTGGAGAAAGGATTGTCCACTGATACAATTAATCATGAAAACAAGAGTGTCATAACATCACCAATTAGTCCCCAGATGCCACAGCAAGTAACCAACAACAATATGAGCACTGGCAGAGTGCACACCAAGAAAGAGGAGAGGAGTGGTAATAATCTGTATCAGGAGCTGAGCTTTCAAGTAACTATTGTTGTTAAACAGTTATTAGGAAATTGATTAAAATTATTAATTGCAGGATGCCGACGCTTTGGCTGATATGGATGATGGTGCTGATATCACTGGTATGTTGAATACACTTTATGCAAAATTTTCAGATTATTATATTTAAATATGTTTAGGTGTTTGGGTCCATCCTGGCGAATATGCATCTTCTGGTAAGTACTTTTTAGAAAATGCTATATTTGTGTATTGAACAAACGCATGGACTAAAATCGTTGCGTGAATAATTTTACAAGAAGCTAATTTATGTCGACTCCTTTTGTCTTATTTAATTACTTGCACGTACGTTCATTATAACTGACCAGAATTGTATTCGCGAATCGAATTAATTATGCAAACAAGACTTTTATTTGACTAATTACATAAGCACGTGAACGCTCAACCAAGCTAATGTAGCTTGTTGTTTATAATTGATTCAACGTGTGGGAATCCATTAAAGTAATGGACAATTCTACTAAAAAAATTCATCACATATGATTTCAAATAAGCATTCAAATAATGTCACATGTAGAACATGTATCTATTGATTTGCTAATATTATACATACAAAATATACTTGGTGTTACTTATAATCATTTATATACAACAAATAGTGAGATAAATTGGGAATTGATTAGAAAAGTACTTCTTATAAAATAATTCCATCAACTTTCAAATTGGCTGAGCCTAAGTAGAATTTGCAATAACTAGTGTTTGCTATTATTATTATATCGTTTGTTTCACTCCTACATGCGATTCACCTTCACTCCACAAACACAAAGTAAACGATAACTTTTATGGTAAGTTCCCAAACATTTATTTTTTAAATAAATATTTAATACTAATAAAAAAACAAACGAGCACCAAAAAAGAAAATAGCGATGCACTAACGATCCATATACATTAACGTCTGCCAAAAGCTTTCGTACTAAACAATTAACTAAATGCGAAATGCGTATCCGATATTTTCGACTAATTCACTTTTTCGTAAATAGGCATGGGCAAGGAAGTGGAAAATCTCATTATGGAAAACAACGAATTGCTGGCAACAAAGTGAGTGTTAGCAAACGGCTTTAGTGAGATCATTGTTTATATGCGTTATCTTTTGTTATCATCGTTTAGGAACGCTCTGAATGTGGTGAAAGACGATCTCATCGTCCAGGTGGACGCGCTTTCCGGCGAGATGGAAATGCTGCGCGAGGAAATTCTAAGTCTGAACGTGTCCAGGACGAGGTTCAAGGAGAGGGTGGCCGAGCTGGAGGACGAGTTGAAGAAGCTGAAGAAGGCGCACGAATCGAGGCCGGATTCGGGCGAGGAGGAATCGGAAGTTCCGATGGCTCAACGGAAACGGTTCACGCGCGTCGAGATGGCGCGTGTTTTGATGGAGAGAAATCAATACAAGGTAAGTCGATGCTTTGATTGATGTGTTTTAGGGTAATTTGTAATAGGATGTTTTTAAATGTGAATTCATTTGAAAATAATAGTTGCAAGTATTATTGGATTTAATGCGGTTCGTTTTAATTGCTTAGGAGAGGTTCATGGAGCTGCAGGAGGCCGTCCGCTGGTCGGAACTGGTACGCGCGACAAAGGGTAACCCAGATCTGGGTAAAGAGAACAAGCACAGCATCTGGAAGTTCTTCAGCAATCTGTTCAGCGGGTCAGATAGACCCACCCAGTCCATGATGCAGCCCCAGCTGCGCTACAAAGCATCCACGAACCAGGTGATGCCCGGCGTTAGAGCTTTGCCTCGCAGCGGGCAGGATTTTCACGACACCGAAATCGGTACGGAATTATAAAATTATTACTTACTTCTCCTCTACATTATCTCGATGCCGCATCGTTATAATTTATTTACTCTGTGATATTGTACATATTATGTATATTACGATTAGTCTCTTTCGATTAACATTAGTTTCTAGTACTGTTTTCTTGTACATACACACATATATATTTAAATACGAGTGTGCTTTGGATGTCTGCGAGCGAGGAATGCCGAATCCTCGCACACGTCCTTCGCCGCACGTCGAAAGTGCCTTACTTAGTATAATTTGATTTGCTTATAAGTATATCTCTTGGTTGTGACTATTAATTGTTACCACGCGACACTAGTCCTCGTAATTTATCTGTTAGACTTAAGTGTAGATGATCGCGTTTGAATCGGATTGTTTTCTTTATAGGGGATTGATTCTCTTCCACTAATTGTGTTATCTGTGTGCTCGTGCAGTTTTTTTATTTATATTTTCTTTTGGAGATGATTTAAGCTATTCAAGAGCCGCCGTGAAGAACAAATTGAGCAAATGATTATTTTTGTTGGATCTTGTCTTTAAAACACGAAAAATATTTCGTTTATTTATTTTCCCGTTTTATTTTTATTTTTTTTGTTAAGTTTCAATATATTTTATTGAGTTTCAATAGTGTTTTATTTACTTGTCGATGCATGAACACTTTTCTTTGTCTCTTACAATATCTGCTGGGTGTAGGGGAGGCTTTGTTTTTTTTTTGTAATTTGTAAGCGATCTTTATGCTCGCTATTGGTTGTAACTTGATTTTGACGTGATTCTGTATTTGCCAGCGACGAAGAGGGCGGGCGAAAGGAGGGAGCAGTATAGACACGTGCGGGCCCACGTGAGGAAGGAGGACGGTCGTCTGCAGGCTTATGGGTGGAGCCTGCCAGAGAAGGTGGCGCCTCCTGCGAGGGGTCCGCAGAGCTCCAGCGGTGGAGTTCCGGTCCCTGTGCCGGTGTACTGTCGCCCTCTGGTCGAAACATCCTCGGGCATGAAAATTTGGTGTGCAGCTGGCGTTAACCTCATGGGCGGATACACCAAAGACGGAGGATTAATGGTAAACACATATCCATTTCTACTTAATAATAATAAATCATCATACAATTATATTGATTACAGTAGTATACTTATTACTACTAAATAATTATGGAATTAAATTCCTAAAATACAAATAATTACCCACATTACAGTGACTTTCTATCTCTGTACAATGGATAGAAAATATGTGGTAATGACAGACCTTTTTTTTTCATGAGAACAATTATGAAAAAATTGCATTATGAGGAACAATAGAAGGATGTTTTTAAAAGAATTAAAAAGCTGTCTTCAATTTATTATGTATATATTACTTTGTTAAAATACTAATATAATTAGCTTTCAATCATTTTCAATCTGAAACTCCGTTTTTAATTGGAGTCTTATCCTTCGATAGATTTTGAATCTTTGAAAATATGGACATCGCTATTAAGTTTTTTGTTTTTTAGTTGTAAAATACTGATTTGGTGTTATTGCAGGTTGGTGGAAGCGTGTTCTATTCGGATGATTCAATCGAGAGAGGCGCGACATTAACCGAATTGGATTCGCTGGACAAGGAGATAAACAGTTTCAAGGAGGGCGCAATGTTGGAGACCAAATTATCATCTTTGGTATGGATCTGCACATCCACTCAAGCAGCTAGCATCGTCACCGTCCTCGACGCCAACAATCCGGCCGAAGTGTTGAACAGCTTCGGCGTGTGCACCAATCATCTGCTGTGCATCGCAAGTGTCCCAGGTGCGAGTGTCAGTGATTACGGCAACACCAACTACATACCGAGTGACAGTGTACCGGAGGCGAACGAAAACAGTGCCGGTGCAGACGCTGGCGATGATGCCAAGGAGGAGAGCGATCTACTGGGTAGGATCGTTTTCGTGGACGATAATCCGACTGTGAAAAATCGCAAGGACCAGGTGGTGGAGGCCTCGGAAGTGGAAGAAGAAGAAGATGGGAACCAGACGAAGGCGGAGGATGAGGAAGCCGGCGACGCTAACGACACTACTACCTCCAGCGGGGATGAGCCGAACGTCCGCCTCGAAGTCATGTCCAGCGTTCTGGCCACGATGTGGCTGGGCGCGCAGAACGGGGAACTGTTCGTGCACTCCGCCGTGTCAAATTGGAACCAATGTTTGCATTCGGTGAAACTTCCGGACGCCGTACTGAGCATTGTGTAAATAGGACGTGCGTATTGCCTGGAATAGGTTGTAATGCAATGATTGTTTTCAGGCATGTTAACGGAAGGGTTGTGGTCGCCTTGGCGAATGGAACTATGGCTGTGTTCAGTCGCGACGAGACGGGCGACTGGGATTTAGGAAAATATAATATAGTACATTTGGGTTTGCCCAAGCACTCGCTGCGATGTCTCGCCGTCGTCGGGGATAAGGTCTGGTGTAGCTACAGGAACAAGGTGTGCATCCTCGAACCTATGACGCTCAAAATAGTACATACCTTAGTGGCTCATCCAAGGAAGGAGAGCCAGGTGAGGCAGCTAGCGTGGCTCGGGGATGGCGTTTGGCTCTCGGTTCGCCTGGACTCAACCCTAAGACTTTACCACGCGCAGACCTACGAACACCTGCAGGACGTGGACATCGAACCCTACGTCAGCAAAATGCTAGGTCAGTCTACTATAATTGTTATTTAAATCAAATTTGATTATTTATTTTCATTAATCTATTAGGTACCGGAAAACTCGGTTTCTCCCTAGTCAGGATCTCGGCGTTGCTGATTTCTTCGAACAGGCTGTGGATCGGCACCAGCAACGGTGTCATCATTTCTGTGCCTCTCAGTGAGAGCGGATCATACAGCGGCGGCACAATAGTTTCGCGCGCTTCCGGTTTACACGGAAGTGGCGTCCGCCTGAACAACATTTCAGGTAACATTCCGTTCTGCAACGTCGCTCACGCCCAGCTCAGCTTCCACGGTCATCGGGATAGCGTGAAATACTTTGTCGCTGTGCCAGGAAACGGAGGTACGTCTTAATCTCAACTAAAACTGAAGTATTTAACAATTCAACTTCCAGGAATGAGCGCAGCTTCGACGCCTTCCGAAGCTCATTCAGCTGCGGTCACGCCCATAGGCGGGCCTCAAAGACTACCGCCTGCTGCGATGCTGGTGATGTCTGGAGGAGAGGGTTACATCGATTTCCGCATCGGTAAGTGTCGCTTCTATATAGTTTACATAAATCTGGTTAATACTTGTCAAGTATCGCAATGTGCGTGGTTTCAATAACTACCACAGCTTTAGCAAATGTCTGCGATTCCCGTAGCTTTGCATTCATTGCCTAAATATTCTAATTTAAAGTATCGGTAAGTATCGCATAGTAAGTAGCTCGCTTAATACATTTAAAACGCATGTGGGATAACTGGGAATATCAAAGCAGAACACATGAAAGAAAAAAAAGCAAAGATAATTTAATGTGATGGTGCGAGTTGTAGGTATGGGTCACTTTAACTTCTTCCTCTTCTACACAATTTTCTATTTATTTATATAATTTACTTAATTTTACTCTTCCTACTTCAACATACTGTAATCCACTTAATTCAATCTCTATTTTTAATTTGCGACTAATTCACTTCAGTTAATTATTAACTTTACGATTTATTATTTGGTTTTTCGAAAAAAACAATAAATGGAATTTGCAGAAGACGATGAACCGAGTGACGCAGCCTCGCATCTGCTTATTTGGCAACTATTAAACGATATTCCTGGGGATCCTTGCGGGTAGGTTTTTGCAGTTATTTATTTTTATATATTTATAACGCACCTTCGCAATATTATATTCTATCAATAGAAGACAAAATTTGGAATTTATTGTAAATTTCTAAATAAGTTTTCAGGCAAGTAAAGACTTTTCATGTTAAGTAATTTGAGATCAATATAAAATATACGTTGTAGATTAATATTGTATGTGAATTTTCTGTTTCTGTAGGTGATAGTGAAATGGAGGAAAGCGTCACCGGAGAGTCTGCCGAGAACCTGGAGAAAAACCAGGGTGGAGAGGCGATGGGGGCGAAGAGTCACCTGATCGTTTGGCAAGTGGCTCACGGTTAAAGCTTTTAAACTTTCTTCTTGCATCACACTCACCGCTCACCGGAGACAAATCAACACACGCGCTAACCCTTCATTTGTAACCGCTTTCCAGTCATTCGGAATGTTTATTTATAATGTAAACCATAACAAATCAAACTAAAAAAAAAGTATGGATATTATGATAGGCAACCAAATGTAACCGTCTAGTGGGAGTTGCCGCCGATCGTTCAGCTCCGCCCACTTCTCGTACGCTTTCTCAACAAACAAGCCAAAGATCCAAGACACACACACAGTATTTTCGATCGATCTATTCGCGTGTTACCAGATCCGTACTTGTAATTTGTTTATACGACATATGGGAAAGCCATTAATCTTCATAGATTTGCAAGCATATTGCATTCGTTTAGATTAATAATTCTTATTATATATTTATTTATTTTTTTTCAAAAAGAGTATATATATATTCAAATAATGAGCTTATAAGGAGAAAAACAATTACTCGAAAATTAAAGTGGCTCAAGTAATTGATTTTAATATCCAAACTTTATTTATGCTTTCCATTTTAAACTAGCTTTGTTTAGGGGTGCATTTCTTTCAAGATATTTAGTTTACGAGTTTCAATTTTTTGGGCACCCCTGTGTAATTGATAAAATTATTTATTAAAAAAAAAACTATACTAAAACTATTTCAAAACAAAATTGCAAACACCAATAAATTGAATTATAAGTATATATAAATTGATACATATATATATATTTGTAGCTTTAATTTTATATGTGAAGATAATGAGATTGTTGTAAAACGAGATATAGTAAGTTTTAAAGAAACTAGTGTAAATTATTATTTATTTATAATCTGTATATTTTGTAACAATATGATTTTCAGTCTTCATGTGCAATTTTAATTAATCATCATCATTGTCCATAAGTTGTTATTCTTTCATGAAATAATAATAATAATAATTAAAGAAAAAATATAATTATCTTCTTGCAAACAAAAATCCCTGCAACCTCAAAGAAAAAGTGTTTATCATCTTTTGGAGAAAAGAATGAGTTAAAAATATACTCTTTTTTTATTACTTATTTCTTGTTTTTTTTTTCGTTTTGAAATACAGAAATGTCCAAGTGTATAAAACAATAACCTTAAATATTAGTGCTCCTTCGATGCCATATGCCTCATCAGATTGTTAATGAACTTGTCGATCCGCCTTATATCCTGCTGGACTTCTGTTTTGTATTGCAGGCACTGAAACAGATATTGTAGTTATAGTATTTTTTTTTTGGTAAAGATCGATCATACTAACCACAACATCGTCGGTCATTTTTAATACTAGTTGATTTTTGGAGTGAACATATTTCATGGTGTACCTGGCCTTTGAGGGTTCCTGCAGGTACAACTTCTCCGCGGCCTTCTCGAAGTCCTCCCAACTTTTCATAAAAGTCATTTTATTGTTTGTGATTATTTGTTACGTGCGTACTACTACAACTATGAACACTAATGCAGAATACTATATTGAGTTATCTCAATAACCTATACACTGTACCATTGAGGTTGTGTCAATTTGACAGTATTTTGACACGACTGAAGACATGGTTCGTCGGTAGCGACACCAGGTGATCCAAATTAGCGTAATCATCGTAGCAGGCAACTGTAGTTGCACGATTGCAACGGACAGTTGCCTATATGAAAATCATGTATATCAGTGTTTCTCAACCCAAGATTTACCGCAGAACTGAAAAAATACAATTGTTATTACTAAAAAAAGTACTATGATAAAAAAATAAGCTTTTAATTTTCGCAGAATGCTTAAATGTGAGTCGCGGGCCGGTGGTTGTGAACATTTTTATATAAAGTAACATTAATATTATTTTGTCAAAGTATTTTTTTTATTATTTATATACAATTTTTACACTATTTATTATACATTTGTATTATTCTTTTCCTTATGTGTATGCCCCTCAGGTTCGGTTCTTTCGGTACGATCCTTGGTACCGGTATTTTGAGCGGGCTTGTTGTTTTACCATGATCTATGTCTTCGTTCCGGGACCCCGCATCCAACACATCATTTTTATTTTGAATTTCTTTATGTCGTTTTCTATTCTCATTTCCTCAGGAATCATGTTGTATTGTGCAACGCCCTGCACCAGCAAACTCCTATTCATAATGTTTGTTGTATTTTGTTCCATTCTTATATTTCTTCTAGTTCTCGTATTATGATCGTGTGTGTCGCAGCCGAAAGACAGGCCTATCCGGGTCTTAATATGTTTTTTTACTATTTTGTGTATTAGTATGTTTGTCTGTGTCTCTATCAGTGTCCCCACATCCGGTATCTGCTTGTCACGTCTATTTGAAAACATATTTTTTAGCTTTGTTTGTTGTTTTGTTAATGAGTTTACGTTTTCCTTTGTTGTGTTTCCCCACACCGCCACACCGTAGCACATCCTAGAGCACTTATCCGGGAGAAATTTGTTTATTTTTTCACACATCCAATTGTCGTAGCATTTTTTTTTGTAAGCTTATGTGGCCTATAACAATGAAAACTAAGAGTTTTCCCTACAAATCATTATGTCTATCAGTGTTGTGTCAATTAGCACAGCCGCTGAATTTGAAACGGCTGAATTTGATGTTGAATTCATCACGTTTCTTCTTTTCACAGCAGTTTGGAGTCAAGGGTCTTACCAAGATATTTTGATTTATTGGCATATGGAAATGTAATGCCAGTGATGTAGATTGGTTATTATTGTGTTAGATTCAGTTTAATTCACCATTAATAATAATACAGATTTTTACCCTTTGAAGAGTAAATTCCTAAATTTTTAGACCCATAAATTGACAACTGAATCAACATTGCATGGTATGGACTATAAAAATTCATTTCTTGACATAACAACCAAATGAAAGGGTAATTCCTCTTTGCTGAACATTTTCTAGAAAATTATGATAATGCTCCATTGGGCATTGCGTGTCCTACCCAGTCCTACCGCGCCTCAAAGTGTTAAATATTATTGTCCTAGTTTTCCGTTTTCTACATGACAACCTTAGTTTATAGCAGTGATTCTCAAACTTTTTGATCCGCGACCCCCTTTTGGACACAAAAAGTTTTTACGATCCCCCAAAAGAATGGTTATGTATAGAAAAATAATCAGGATTGATGTGTCATTATTTTTTTTGCGACCCCCTGGGGAGAGAATTACTGGTTTACAGCATGAAAAAAACACATATACAATTAAGGTGGATGTGCCGGGAATACAAGTATGGTTGCCTAACTCAATCATCCTTTCAGATTATAATTTACTACTTACATAATTACTTTGACAATAAGTAACAATCAAATTCTATGTCTCATAGATAATAATTACAAACCCTTTTATCATTGATTTACTCATTAATATTTTATGTATTTCGAGCAATTCAAAAAATCTAAGGACAAAACTTCTTTTAAATTAATATTTCACTCATTCAAATTTGACTTTAAATTACCTAAAAATATGTGACACAAAGAAGCAGATATAATGAAATTAAAGTATTAAAATTATATATTTGGTCACTATTGTGTTTTTTTTTTGTGTGTAATTCATTAATATCCACAATTCAGCCTACATTTTTCACTCTATGAAGTTTTACACTAAATTAATTGAATACTTCGCATCTCATATATGAATATACATAGTCATACACATACAAAATCTGAAGCCAATTTGATTATTTTATACACAAATAAGTATAACATTCATTTAATCAATTTTTATATTTAGTTATAATAATTTTGTCATATTTGATATAAATTAAATCAAACATTATATAATTCAATAAAAATGAGCGGTTTTCTAATTTGACTAAAGATGTTGTCCAAGCTAATTATGTTGCATACGATGATTTGAATGTTCCTATTTAAATTCAAACAAAAAAATTGTTACGAAATGCAGCACGTAAATAAATTAATTAACGGCTACATGTGCCAAAAAAGACGAGGCGACTAAACACAACAGAGTAAAACTAACAACAATAACAAGCAGCGACGTGTCTCAACAATTCTACACATTTGTCTCTCTCGCACCATTTATAAATACATATATATATATATATTTTATTTCTCCTTCTTTTTTTTTTTGGTGTGTTTGTGTGTGTGTGTGAGCGCGATAATTTCAGTTATGTAACGCACCAGTTATTCACTCAAGGTTAAGCGATTTTGGAGACTTTCGCGGTTTTCGAATCGAATCGGTTATTTATATAAACATGCAATAATAAGCGCGTAGAGAGGCAAAACGCGCTGAACGAACGAACGAACAAACGCTTGTCTCTCGGCTATGATTATTGCCTTCTATCTGCATGGTCGTGTTGCATAACAGGACGAGACCGATCGTATCTTATTTATATCTGCACATTATTTTTGTTTTCGATTGCGGGAGGATTTGCATCCGTTCAGACGGAATCCGTCTCGTATGCATTGCCAGTGGATACTTCGCATTAACTATTTTCTATGCACTTTTTTTTTTCGTGTGAGACTGCACACAAACATCGGAATAATTTCTTGCTTCGCACCATTCTTTTTTCAACATAATCAAATCTATTAAAGTTTGAATCATCTGGATGTTGATAAAGATGACACTTGATTTATTACTCGACAACAACGAATAAGAATTTCATTCAAGATGTTTTTTAAAATTTGCATTACCTGAAGTTTATTTACCACAAGTCTACAAGAAAAACTTTTTTCCACTTCTATAAACTACATAAAAATGTAGTTTAAAAGAGATATATAAAGTAAAAGATGTTTACTAAAATTACATAATTTATATATCAATTAAAAAGTAGCTGTCACCTATTAATAGTTGATGAATATGGACTTTGAAATCTCATCTAGGAGATGCAGAAAATATAACTTTCAAAAGCTAACATCGTTTGTTTCCGGTTTTCAATTTATTTCTTATTAAAATGTCATAGAAAAGTCTTGACGTTTGAGTTCTATATTTGTATAGGATGATCAATGTATATATATATTGCAAAGGTTTAGATTTTTAAATAGAAATATTGATTGTTTGTGAAAGGTTTAAAGTTTATAAAAAATGTGTCTGTCAATTAAAAATGAAATATTATGAATCATATTTTGTTATTCTATGAAATTGTTTAATGGAAGACAATGCAAATGATACATCAAATTATCAACCGAAAATTAACTGTCATCTGTCATGATTCAAAAAAATAAAGAAATCTACACAACAAATCTTAATATATCCTCGATGAATATGAAATTTATGATTGATTCAAATTTAGTAATTTTCTTGCTATAAACGAGAATACGTAAAGAATATTAAGAATAATTGAACTGTCAGATGTTACATCATAAATTCTTATTAGAGAATATGGTGATTCTATGCAATGCACAGGTCAGCCCTTTCTCATGGGCGAAAGATAATAAAATCGATCGACCCTGGTTGGCAAGAAGTTTAATGAAAGAGTCTATTACATCCTCTGTTCCGAGAAAAAGGAGGACGACACTTGATCCCGTTCCAACATGGATTATGCGATTAATAGACCCGCATTTGCGTAATGGGTTCGCTCCTTCTGCGCTGGATTTCTCCGATGGGTTCGGTTAAGTAATTTAATTGCGCTCATTTTCATCTTTTATTCGCTTAGCCTCGTCCTCCTCCTCTTCGTCATCATCATCATCCTCCATCTCTTATTGTCTCGATGCTACAGACTCCGTAGGAGGCAGTTACGTAATGACACGCAAGTGCTGACTATCTCTCTCTCTCTCTGTCGCACTCACCTCATCTTTCCTCTTTTGTTCTTCCTCTGCGCTCCCCGCAGCAGCCGCTGCCACCGCCGTTCCATTCGTCGCAATACGGATTCGTTACATAACGCGTGTGTCGCAACCGAGCGCTCGCAATTAAACACCGTTAAACCAAATCGCCGCGTTTATTATAATAACGCTAGGAGTTGTACAGTTGTGTACAACAGACGTGTGCGATTTTAAACCAAAGTTAAACAATAACTTCTGCGCTTTATCTCTCTTTCTCTCTGTACTATGTGCACTCGTCATGCACAGCCTCCTTCATATTCATGATCAATTTGACCGCAGCCCAATATCGATTGCAGCGCTCCACGCAGTTTTTCCTCGAGTTACGTAACGCCTATTATCCAATACGTTCATTTGCATCGCGCTGATTAATTCCATCTATTTATAAGAAGCTTAGTGAAATACGTTTTCTTTTGCATAACGTAAACGAGAAAAACTGCGTGTATGATGCAAGGATATGTACTGTTAATTGAACTGTAACTCAGTTATCTAATACTAATTACCGTTGAAAGATGCCAACTAAAACTTCAATAAATATCACTTAAATATAAACCTGATCAATACAAATTAAGTGTTACTCTATTAAGAAATGATGATACCAATATAAATCATAGTTGCTTTATAAAACAATTAAACCTTTGGGC